CAACAAATAGTCCTTCCCCAAGCTATGGTGCACCAGCAGGGGGAAGTCCCTCAACCAACTACGGTGCGCCTTCAACAAATAGTCCTTCCCCAAGCAACGGTGCACCCTCGGGGGGAAGTCCCTCCCCAAGCTACGACGCACCCTCGAGGGGAAGTCCCTCCTCAGGCTACGGTGCGCCATCGAGGGGAGAATCGACTCCTAACTACGGTGCACCTTCGGGGGAGAGGCCATCCACGAACTACGGAGCGCCACCGCGGGGAAGTTCCTTCTCAGGCTACGCTGCGCCATCGGGGGGAAGTCCCTCAACCAACTACGGTGCGCCCTCAACAAATAGTCCTTCCTCAAGCTATGGTGCACCCTCGGGGGGTAGTCCCTCCTCAAGCTACGGTGCGCCATCGAGGGGAGAATCGACTCCTAACTACGGCCCACCTTCGGGGGAGAGGCCATCCACATCCACGAACTACGGTGCGCCACCGCGGGGAAGTCCCTCATCCGGCTACGGTGCGCCATCGAGGGGAGAACCTTCTCCTAACTACGGCGCACCCTCGGGGGGCAGTCCTTCCTCAAGCTACGGCTCACCCGCAATGAACAGGCCCTCTCCGAGCTACGCCGCGCCATCCCAGGAGAGTCCCTCCCGGAGCTACGGCGCACCCTCACAGGGAGGCCTCTCTTCCAGTTTCGGCGCTCCTCAGGAAGGCAACTCGTCTCCCGCCAGTCCCTCAGCCAGCTACGGCCCCCCTGGTGGCGTCCTCGACATCGGCGACCCCTCCTGGCTGTCGAACGAAGCAGTAAGCATCTGGCCGTACTCGCTCTCCTGTATCCATTGGCCATGTGGCCTGTACTACGATTACAATTTGGGAGCTTTCTAGACGCCTACGACCTTGACCTTGCGACAGGTGGCCAAGTACGAGTTTAACTACGACGTCAACTCCTTTGGGACGGCCTTCGCCCAGCACGAGTCCAGGATGGGAGACGTCACCCAGGGCGAGTACAACGTGCTCCTTCCCGACGGCCGCCAGCAGACGGTCCAGTACGAGGCCGACACCGCCGGCTTCAGGTCCAAGGTTAGCTACGACCCACAGCGGGCTCCACGGCCACCCGGCGGAGCCCAAGCAGGGCAGAAGCAGCAGCAGCCCGGAGCGTCCAGCGGGTACCCGCCGGGAGTGCCCGGCCGTCCAGGTAAAGTGTCACCGCCGGCGAGGGTCTTGGTGAACGGAGTAAGCAGACGCCCTGGAAGTTCCAGGGCCTCGGCGGGCAGACGACCTCAACAGAGCTCAGGATACCCCCGTGGCCGAGAGAGTGGCTACCCATCTAGAAGGGCGGACAACGACTTCCAATCTGGAGGATACCCATCTGGCAGGCCCGACGATGACGTCCAATCTGGAGGTTACCCATCAGAAAGGCCACGCAGCGCCCAGGCAGGAGGATACCCATCTGGAAAGCCAGCCAGTGACCAATCGGGAGGGTACCCATCTGGAATGCCAGACGACGCCCAGTCTGAAGGATACCCATCTGGAAGGTCAGACGATGCCCAAGCAGGAGCATACCCATCTGGAAGGCCAGCCAGCGACCAATCGGGAGGGTACCCATCTGGAAGGCCAGACGACGCGCAGTCTGGAGGATACCCATCTGAAAGGCCAGACGACGCCCAGCCTGGAGGATACTCATCTGGAAGGCCAGACGCCCAGCCTGGAGGATACCCATCTGGAAGGCCAGATGTCGCCCAGTCTAGAGGATACCCATCTGGAAGGCCAGACGACGCCCAGTCTGGAGGATATCCATCTGGAAGGGCAGACGACACCCAGTCTGGAGGTTACCCATCTGGA